CCTTACAAGTCTTATAGACCAAGTGGAAAAGGCGTTAGAAGACAAGGAAATAGCACTATGTGCATTTCTAGATATCGAAGGTGCTTTTGATAACTCTTCTACTTCGCTGTTGATAAATGGGTTGATAACTAAAAATGTTGATCCAACAACGGTAAAGTGGGTAAAATCTATGCTCACTAGCAGAAGAGCAAAACTAGCCCTCCACGACACAACTATCTATATATCCACAGCAAGAGGATGTCCGCAAGGGGAGTTCTATAGAACTCCGCATTGATGCGCAAGGCTATGCTGATGACTTGGTAATCATAGCAAGGGGCTTCTGCCAATCCACACTTTCAAGTATAATGCAGAAGGGTCTGAACATTGTCAGTGACTGGTGTGTTAGAAGTGACCTATCAGTCAACGCTGACAAAACTGTCATTGTGCCCTTTACAAACAAGCGAAGGTTAGACAAACTAGTCATGCCAAAGCTTAATGGCAAACAAATCGCATTTTCCACGCAAGTCAAATACTTGGGACTAACATTAGACCAAAAACCGCATCTAACTGCAGTCCTAAGTAAAGCCGACTGGAGTAAAAACATTCGTGCTCATCACACAACGAATGCCCCCAGCGGGACTCGAACCCGCGACCGCTGGCACAGCAAGTAGGGTCACTACACACTGAGCCAAACGTGTCGTCGAAATTATTTATTTATACCTACTAACGTCTCCAAATCCTTCGCAGCACACCTATCTACCTACCTACATAATATTACGTACTACATTTTTATATAGACAAAAGTAAATTTAGAGCTGTATGTCGGCAGCGCGAAGTTAGTAATAAACAAATCAGTGTAAATTTAATGAACCTTTGTTGTTGATAGCTACAATATAATGAAGATAAAGAAATAAATTATTTTAGAAAAAAATATTCTTTTTTCTTACATTCCTTATTATATATTTCAATATACCGGGAATTTCCCCCACCCTCTTGGGACATAGCGACCGCAGCGCTTTCTTCGCGCCCACCATTTCTTTTTGAAATTTTTGGGACAACTTTTATATACAGAGATTGGACTCCTTGTCTATATTCTTTATGGGACAAATGATCAATGGAATATATAAAATAAAACTTGGAGTCCAAAAAAAAAAAAAGTTATACAAACAAATTGTTTCACACGAATTTTTATTTGCACTTATAAATAAAATATAGATTCTAAGTTTATCTAGCTATGTTAATTTAGCTTTGTTTTTGAGATTTTGTATTTATTGCTGTTTTCCATAAGACTACAATATTTGAACCAATTATGGTACTATGCATTTTAATTTAACTGAATCTATATTTATTTATAGTAACCGAAAAAATATTATTATCTATACATATAATAAAATTGTAACTACGTCGAATATATATGTACATTAAATATATTTTTGAAAATCTAATTGAAATAGACATTATTATCGATACAGAGTTCGAATCTATAGTTTTTAGAATTTTTGTCTGTCTGTCTGTCTATCTGTCTGTTACCGCATCACGCGAAAACCACTGGACAGATTTTGATGAAATTTGGTGTGATGATAGCTGGTTATCCGAGTCAACATATAGGATACTTTTTACCGCGGAAAAATATCTCATTTCTGAGAAAAAATACAAAAACTGCAATGAAAAGTATACTAATATGTAAAACCTAAGAATTTGATTTTTGGTCATCTGAACGCGGGCGGAGCCGCGGGCAATGCTAAATATTTAATAAATCAAAATATACTACAGTATAAAAACTATTATACCATACAAAAACCTAAATGACGCTGTCATGCGATCAATGTAAGTGGACGAAGTCATTGTTTCGACAGATTGCTATTTAATAGACATTTCGAAATGATAGAAAAACTTGACCTTCTATCACCGGAAAATATTTTATAGGCACACGATAAATACTGGAAGTAAGTTACAAAATAGAATTAATATCAGGTTTTATTTATTTAGGCACTTCTCGTTTATTATTATATAATTATTATATTATAATTATTAACTGCCTCGGTGGTGTAGTGGCTAGCATGTACGGCTGCACACCCGGAGGTCCTGGGTTCGAGTTCCGGGTCGGGCTAAGTTTAGTTATTGAGTCTTCCTGTATAGTAAGTCTCTGTAACAGACCGGAGTTGGGAAGTTGGCGGTGTTTCACCCCCGTGCCTCGGAGAGCACGTAAAGCAGTCGGTCCTGCGCCTTAACTCTCACCGATCGTGTCTCGTGTCGTCCCACCGGAGTATGAGAGTGATAGGAATAGAGAGTGCACTTGTGTCTGCGCGTACACTTGTGCACTATAATATCTCCTGCGCAGTTGGCTAATCTCATTGAGATTGGCCGCTGTGGCCGGAATTGGCTAGGAGAACATCATAATTATCCATTCTATTGTATATAAAAAATTGTGACTTACACTCGCTTGGCTCGGATGCTTCCCTAGGTACGTTTTATTTTTTCGAGCGGAACCCTAATTCTTTTTCTAAAAAAAAAGTAGCCTAAGTTACTCCCTATAACATCGGCCATCTGCCAGTGCAGGTCCTGTCAAAATGAGTCCAGCCGTTTCGGAGATTAGCCAGAACAAACAGACAGACTGACAAAAATTTTAAGAATCGTGTTTTTGTTATTAGTACTGTATAAAATTTCATATGCATTTAGTAAAAACCTGTTATTTTGATATTACATACTGACATTTCAATTTTATTTACCTGTATAAATTATTTAAAATCATATTTAAATGAAAGAATGGCGTAAAAATACAGATAAATAAAATTGAAGTGTCTGTTTGTAATGTTAAAATAATAGCGTTTTACTAAATGCATATGAAATAAAATACGGTACTTATAAGAAAAACACATATTTGTAAAATTTTTGTCTGTCAGTTTGTTCCGGATAATCTCTAAAACGGCTGAACTGATTTTGACGGGATTTTCACTGGAAGATAGCTGATATTATAGAGAGAAATATAGGCTACTTTTATTTTAAAAAAAGAATTAAGGTTCCGCTCAAAAAAATTAAAACGTACCTTATATAACGTATTACACTAACGATTCACGCTCATCTCGGGTTCGTCTCTAGTTACGTTTTAACACTTAGTATAGATTTTTCAGAGATGAGATATTTTCCGAAAACAAAAGTATTGTATATGTTGACCCGAATAATCACCAGCTATCTTCATACTAAAAACCATCAAAATCTGTTCAATCGTTTTCTCGTGATGCGTTCTCAGACAGACAGACAAAAATTCTAAAAACTACAGTTTCGGCCTCTGTATCGGTAATAACGACATTTCAATAAGATTTTCCATAACAATTTTAATCTACCGATTCGAATCAGTTAGAATTGGTGCACCCTATGCACCTGGGTTACGGCTATTTCTTTCATACCTTCAGACTGATAGTCTAGGTATGTTTTGTGAACTAAATTTATAGTTTAAAAAACAAAAACCAAGTAATAAATAGAAGATAGTTTCTTCAAAAAGCAATAATAAAAATTAACAAAACAAAGCAGCAGTGTCAGAACAAAATATACAAAAAAACCGCCATTAAACGACATTTTAATGCTGACGGTACAACAGACACGCACCGTTATTTTCAATACTATTCTTTAATCACGTTATAATTATGTTTTAAACTACAAAAACTATTTAGAAAAGTAATAGTTGGGATTTTTAATTAAATAGTTGATTAGATCGCGTGATCAAAACTTTTTTCAGAAAATTTTATATCTACTTTTTATACTAAATCCTTAATAGTCCTTAGCAGTAATATTATCTATATATGTTATGGACTAGCGACTCACCCTCGCTTCACTCAGGTTCGTTCCTAGATTGATTCCCCATACAAACTTTAATATCTATTTTCACCCCTTAGGAGATGATTTCTGGAATAAAAAATATTCTATGTCCTTCCCAGGGTCTCGAAACTATCTTCTTGTCAAATTTCATCTAAATCGGTCCAGAGTTTTTGAGTTTATTCGTTACAAACATACAAAAATTTAAAATAAAATTCTTTCTAATATGTTGTCTTTTTAAACTTACATCATTGAAACACAACTAGAGGAATTTAACACATTCTATTATTTAGAATAACATCGATCAAAAAAGTACCTACTTTTTAATCGATGCTGAATAAAAAGAATAGTTAAGCTTCTAAAGATAACAGTTTGGAGATATTGTCGCTATAATGATGTTCTCCTAGCCGATTCCGGCCACGGCGGCCAGTCTCAATGAGATTAGCCAACTGCGCAGGAGATATTATAGTGCTCAAGTGTACGCGCAGACACGAGTGCACTCTCTATTCCTATCACTCTCATACTCCGGTGGGACGACACGAGACACGATCGGTGAGAGTTAAGGCGCAGGACCGACGGCTTTACGTGCTCTCCGAGGCACGGGGGTGAAACACCGCCAACTTCCCAACTCCGGGCTGTTACTGAGACTTACTATACAGGAAGACTCAATAACTAAACTTGGCCCGACCCGGGACTCGAACCCAGGACCTCCGGGTGTGCAGCCGTACATGCTAGCCACTACACCACCGAGGCAGTTATGTCGCTATAATAATACTAAAATGGACATACATATTATGTATTATATAAGTATTTTACAGTTTTAAGCGACTTCAAAAAAAGAAAGGTTTTTTTTCAGTTACTATGTTTGCCGATTATTAAATAATTTTATCAATTCTTTTTGATATTTAATTTTATAGAAGATTAATTTATATTTTATAAAATAATAATATATAATTATATGTATAATGATATTGTTTATTTTAAAGTCTATATATTACACTAGTGTCGGTACTAATATTATAAATATAAAAGTAAGTCTATCTGTTCGTTACCTTTGACGCTTAAACCGCTGAACAGATTTCGATAAAATTTGAGAAGGATCTAGATTGCAACAGGGGGGACGGAACATTACCATTACACCACTGAATAAAAAAAAAAGTATGTCATAATCGTAGTAATACCAAGAAGTAATATTAAAAAGAAATCACCTCAAGTCTTAAGTCAGTCATGTTTTCGATGCCCTTGGAGAGAAGATTTTTCTCTTTTCGCAGTCGAATGATCTCTAGCCGCAGTAAGCGAATATCTTCCACCCTTTGTTCATATTGACGTTCACCTACGATGTCATTGTTTTTGTAATTTATATGCATATATGGACATTGCTGTATGGAATAATAGCCATAAAATTATATATTTGAATGGATTTTTAAATATAGGTAATAATTCAGCGCTGTTAACGTCCCACCGCTGGGCACAAACCGTTCCTCAATGGGAGGGGGTACAGTTCATCGTCCACCACGCTGGTTCTCGTATCTCTAAGATCTACAAAATCTGAGAAATACGAGAACCATGTTTTAAACACACCTTACTTCGTTTACCAAGTGGTAATTTAAGGCAACGGGGACCTTATATTGGTGGGATTTTGATGATTATATTTAATTAACAATTCGTCCATGATTCGCGAGCACCGTCACACACCCCGCGTCTCTTTAAAGAACCTTCCAGAATCCTTACAGAATATAAACTATAAACTTTTTATTACAGAAATAATTTTATAATTGCATTGCAAGACATCTTTATACAGTTTTTGTTGCGGGCTGATATCATCGCACAAGAACGAATTTTATATTAGACGAATAATTTTATGTAGGATGCCCCAAAATTCACGCAAAATTTAAATGAGTTAGAAATCACAGTACGTATATATTTCAGTTCTTTTTCTACATGGAAACATAAAGTAGATAGACTAAGGTTATGTATGCAATAACACATACGCACTCTTTTGTCGAAATTTTCTATGATTCTGACAATAATTTCGTCATTTTGCACAAATGTGGCTAAATATAGTTGATGCAAGAGTATACACGATCAGGATTAATATCTCATGCAATTACCTACTCCTTTTACAGTTGACGAAGTTAAATGAATATTTCTACTAGATTTTATAAGAAACTGTAACAGCCAAACATTCAAATGTCCAACAATAAAAATGCTTTGTTATTTTGTGGAATGCTCCAATGTTACTAACCCTTATACTCTCAGCTATCAAACTGCGGCAAATTCAAATCTTGCATGAATCTTGAGACACCTTTATTAGGCGTCGCATCAAAAATCTGTAAGGTATACTGAAATTAGAAATCAAAAACAAATTTTACGTACCTCTATGCAATGTCACTTCCAAAATACGTATTTTTTCATACAGCAGCGATATTTCATCGTTTCTCCTCACTAACTGTGCACCAACTACGTCACGCTCGTTGATCAGCCCTTCCAACTCTTTCAATAGCTTAGCTCGTGCTGTGTCTCCTTCCTAATAGTTAAACAGTTTTAGTTTCCAGTAACATTATTCGACAACACGTTTGGCTCAGTTTGTAGTGACTCTACTTGCTGTGCCAATGGTCGCGGGTTCGAGTCCCGCTGGGGTATTCCTTTGTGTGCTGAGCACGAGTATTTGTACTCATCATTGGTGTTTATATTTATAATATATATTAATTTAAAGTTATAGATGTGTAGTGTAACTATCTGGTAGCCATAACGCAAGCCTCGTAGCTTACCATGGAACTAGATGGTGTTATGGATGATGTTAATGTCCCAACACATTTAATAATAATAATAATAATATTCTTTATTGTACACCAAAAATAAATATTAAATAAATAACAACACAAAGAAAAGATGCACAGCAGGCGGCCTTATCGCTGGAAGCGATCTCTTCCAGGCAACCTTGAGATGGAGGAGTAAGTGTTCATAAAAACGGTAGGCGGTGTACTTGCTTTGACACGTTTACATATATAAATACTTATAAATAAATAGATACATATAAATGCATATATAAATACATATATACATACATACACATACATACATAGATACATACATACATACATACATACATTCATACATACTTATAAGCGTAAAATTTACACACACTCACATAAAAAAGAAAAAATCAATCAAATAATAAATAGGATTAGATACTAGAACATAATTGAGGAATAATAATAACGATGATATTAGGGGAAAGGACTAAGGAGAAAGACTTAAAAAGATATATAATCTTTTAATAATTTTTTAAATTTATCTAAGCTTTTAGCAGATCTAATGCTTAAAGAAATAGAATTCTACAATCGAGCAGCTTTTACTGTAAAAGAATTTGTGAAGAAATAGGAAGAGTGAGTAGGAATTTTAAGAAGGAAATTCTGAGCAGAGCGAAGTGAACGAGCATGGGAATCATCCAGAAACTCAAAACGCTCTTTCAGATAGATAGGAGTTGAAGGGTTAAACAGCACGCAGTAGAGAAGATGAAGAATATGAGTATTCCTGCGGAATCGGATTGGGAGCCACTTGAGCTTTTTACGAAATTGAGAAACATGGTCATATTTTCTAAGGCCAAAAATAAACCGTATATAAAGATTTTGGAGTCGCTCAAGGTTATTCAAGCGCTCTTTGATGTCGAGATATCAAATGTCAGCATAATCAAGAATCGCTAGTAGGAGTGAATTTTTCTAGTGCAATTTTAGTAGGAATCGGAAGAAAATTTCGCAATCTGCGAAGAGAAGCAATCGCTCCAAACATCTTCCGGCTCAGTTCACTCACTTGCGGATTCTATGACAGGTGTTGATCAATTAGTAAACCCAGATTTTTTAACTTTTTCTTGAAAAGGAATCTTAACACCATCTAGCGATATTTCTGGTATTTGTACAGTCTTAATTTTTGACAACATACTGTTACTGCCAATAATAATTGCCTGCGATTTCGTTGCGTTTAAGTTAAGGCCGTACGATTTACCCCATGTGGCTACAGAGGAGAGGTCATTGTTAATATTTTCTATTGTTTGTGGTAAATCAGCCACAGATGTCACGGCATAAATTTGCAAATCATCTGCATATAGGTGGTAGTGAGAAGAAATTTGGAGACAAAAAATTTATTATTAAACTAAAAATGTATGTATATAAAAATAAAATACACTTTTGTTAGTAAGCGCATCCCTTGAGAAAGGCTGGGTCGGTTTGCCTTTATGCTTTGAAATATCCGTAATAGTTCGAATAAGACTTTTAGGAAAAAATTGGAAAACTTGCTCATTTTGGGAAATATGATCAAAACTAAAAGTTTTTGAAGTTATACTTCTTTTGGCGAAATATTTTACAATGCAAATGAAAGTGTGAATAAAAAATGTGAAAGTGACGTCACGTCATTTTAAATCCAATATGGCGGACTAGGTTTATTTATGTACCTCCATGATATGGATTTCAAATTAAAGGATTTGCTGAGAAGAATATGATAAAACTTATTTAAATGCTCTAAAAAACAAGAAGTATAACTTCTTACGTGCGTATCTACAGGCAAAATTTGGCACAGAGATAGTTTATAGTCTGGAACAGTACATAGGCTACCTACTTTTGTCCCGGAAAAATATACGGTTCCCGTGGTATGGATTTGTTTATGCTTTTCTAGAGGCGAACCCAAGCGAAGCGAGGGTGAGCTAGTAGTACATATGTATCTGTAATTATGTACATATCTATAAGTATATAAATAGGCCAAGATAAAACAGTTCAGTAACTTTTTCTCTTATTGTCAAATAATAAAGTACTTTACTATTAAAAAAATGGGGTAACTTAGAAGATTTCACAAATTATGTGTGAATTCAATCTTATCTTGTAATATTAAATAAGCCTTTTTAATGCGAATTAACTCAAGAAAGTCACCAACAACCCATAAGCTACCTCCTACGTATGGGATCCCTAGCTTAAAAGTCCCCTAAACTAGCCCCTAAATTAAATTACGTTTTACGATCGTCTTTAAGCCCATATTTCAAGCACCTAAATTTAGGGGGCCTTTTAATATTTAGGTGACCCTTAACTGTCGGCGAAACAGAAAATGTCCCCTAACAGCCCCCTAACCATGCTTAGGGGATCCCTTAAACTTAGGTGACGTTGGTGAAATCGGGCATATAAAGTATTATTACAAAGGTGATATATTACTATAATAATGTGGTGATATATTACTAAAATAATGTAATATATATTACTATACAAGGTGTCCCGTAAGTAGTGGACCAACGGGACACTGGTGATGGAGGGGATCATTATCTATTGAAAACACTAAATTTCATTGTCCTAGGTTTAGTAGTTTAAAAGATATGATGTTTTAAGTAATATTTTGAAATTTTCATTCTATCAACACAAAACTTTAAAATTTTATCAAAATATTTTTTGTTATACATTTTATTTCCATTTAAAGGGGGTGAGAAAACATGTGTCCTTCTAAATAAATCGGTACTCATGCATAATTATTGCCACAAATAAAATGAAATATCAAAACTTGTGCAAATATCAAATTTCAAAATTTGCAACGTGATGTTTGAAAGAAGCTAGTGTAAAAAAATGTATGACAGCCTTGTGGAACTTTATTTTAAAAATATCTACAACTCATACTGATTCCAAAAAGCTATAATTTATTTGAGTTTTTAAAACAACAACAAACAATATTAATTTTAAACCTACATTAGTGACCATTTTTTCCACGATATTGACAATAAAACAAGTAGAAACTTATGTCATTTTTATTTATTTATTACAGCAAATGTTCGAAATGTTTTCCTCTTGCTCTTATGCATAACCAGCACCTTCTAATAATTTTTTTTTAAATTTCTAAATGCTCGTTCATTCCTTTTGACTATTTGAGTAACAACATTCAGTTTTTCTTTTAACTGCCTTTCATTAATGTCAGATGTCTCATAGACTGCTTCCTTATAATAGCCCCATAGAAAATAATTCAATGGATTAAGATCAGGTGAGCGAGCTGGCCATGAAATTGTACCTCCGCGTCCAATCCATCTATTTGGGTACGACTGGTTCAAATAATCAGTCACTTGTCTTGAATAGTGAGCGGGTGCACCATCGTGGTGGAACGACATCCTCTCGCAAAATTCTTGTGGTATGTCTACTAATAAATGAGATAGGTCATTCCTCAAAAATGTAGGTAACGAGTACCATTAAGCCTCGGTGGGAGCTCAAATGGACCGATAAGTTTGCCATCTAAGATTCCAGCCCACAAATTAACTCCAAACTGGTGCTGGAATCTGTCTTCTCTTACGATTCGTGGATTTACTACAGCCCATTCATGTAGATTATGAATGTTAAACACTCCAATCCTTTTAAAACATGATTCATCGCTACATAATATGGAATTAAAAAAGGAGTGGATCTTGTCGACATCGGCGAAGAATCTCTCGACAGAAATCTATCCTCCGTTGATAATCGGCAGGTAACAGTGCTTGCACTCGTTGTATGTGGTAAGGGTATAAATTGTTTCGCTTTAAAATGCGATGTATAGTAGTTTTTGCGACACCAGTACGTCTTGAATACGGCGAACACTGGTAGAAGGTTCTTCTGTCACTTCCGCCATTACTTGATGTTCATTAACTAGTCTAGGCCTTCCCGAAGTATTCACAGCCCCGGGAATTCTGCCTTCCAAAAACGCGTTATTCACGCGGAGAAAAATTCGGTGATCAGGATAACGATCGCGATTAGGATAACGCTGGCGATACGTACGGGCGCAGCTTGCCGTGCGTTGCCATCACACAGACCGTAAATGAAATACATTTCAGCATACTCGTGAGGAGTGTAGGTATGAGGCATTTTAAAATATCCGGGCAAACAATATCCAAATCACAAGCACATACAAGGTCCAATTCAAGCGTAAGTCAACAATAAATAAGTCGTTGTGGGAGCGAAATAAAAATACGTGTGTAGCTACGAGCTGTAAGCAAGTCTCTGAACAATACATCTAATGAGTTGAAACATAATGGCCAGGGGTAATAAAATAGATAAACAAAAAAGCGACATGAGCTAGTAAAGAACAAAAAAATTCGGACTGATCCCGGCTGCTGAATTTCACCATCGGACATCGCGCCAAAATAGTAAATTCCATCCACACCACCTCGATGTCCAGCGTTCCACAACAGTGCGATTTTTAAGGCATTTTCTGCCCCGCACAACCACTCTGTGGAACCAGCTATCGCCGGCGGTCTTTCCGAACCGCGACGACCTGGCCACCTTCAAGAAGAGAGCGTATTCCTTTCTTAAAGGCCGGCAACGCATCTGTAAGCCCTGCGCTGTTGCAGATGTCCGTGGGCGGCGGTGATCACTTTCCATCAGGTGAGCCTCCTGCCCGTTTGCCCCCTTAGTCCCATAAAAAAAAATTCTAAGAACCACTAGCTCTGACCATAAACATTTCTCCGAACTGGAGAATAATAGTATTTTTTTTAAGTTTACTTCATTAACTGTAATGTTATTATATCTTTTTGAATTCAGTATAATTTGTAGATATTTTTAAAATAAAGTTCCACAAGGCTGTCAATCCTTTTTTTTTACACTAGCTTCTTTCAAACATCACGTTGCAAATTTTGAAATTTAATGTTTGCACAAGTTTTGATATTTCATTTTATTTGTGGCAATAATTATGCATGAGTACCGATTTATTTAGAAGGACACATGTTTTCTCAACCCCTTTAAATGGAAATAAAATGTATAACAAAAAATATTTTGATAAAATTTTAAAGTTTTGTGTTGATAGAATGAAAATTTCTAAATATTACTTAAAACACCATATCTTTTAAACTACTGAACCTAGAACAATGAAATTTAGTGTTTTCAATAGATAATGATCCCCTCTATCACCAGTGTTCCGTTGGTCCACTACTTACGGGACACCCTGTATATTTTAGTTAATATACGACTTATACTAATATATTATTCTGAAAATAGATATATTATGTAAAGTAATAAATCTAAATAATATTAATAATAATCTTATAATTATCCGTTAGACATTGTTCGGTTCTAATAATATATACGAATTATAAAAAAATTGAAGGCGATTAAAAAAACGACAACCATTTAAATAATTTAAGGACGACAAGCATTCAACTTAATTACAAGTTCTTTATCTAATCTATATTTTTGATTAACTAGTAAAACCCGCGGCTTCGCTCGCGCTAAAACTACAAAAAAATCTCTAAAAAGGTAGTTTCATACAAACTTTCATCCCCTATTTAACCCCCTTATAGGATGAATTTCGAAAAATGCTAAAACACGTACTTATTTAATGTTATTGTAGAGCATTAATACCAAGTTTCAAGTAATTCTGATCATAAATATTTTTTTGGATTGTTTTATAACGTATTTTCCCGTGATAATGAGATAATTTCCCGCAGTAAAAAGTAGCCTATGGTACTCTCCAGCCCTCCATCTATCTCCACACAAAAAATCACGTCAATTTGTAACTCCGTTTCGACGTGAAAGAAGGACAAACAAACAACAAACACACTTTCACATTTATAATAATAGTATGGATTCACCCACTCTATTCTATACAAAATTCAAAATGCTACAGCCGACAAAGTGATAAGCGTAGCTATTGACAGGTTACAATTATTAATAGAAAACATTAAATAAAAATCTATTTATGTTTTAAGGTTTAGAATGGACTTCTCAGAGATGAGATATTTTCCCGCAGTAAAAAGTTTCTTATATGTTGACCCGGAAAACCAGCTATCATCATACCGAATTTCATCAAAATCTGCCCTGTGGTTTTCTCGTGATACAACAGAGGCTAAAATTCTAAAAACTATAGATTCGGCCTCTGTGTCTATAAGGTAAGTCATTACATCATGATCATGACTATTTCAATAAGATTTTCCAAAACATATTAATGTACAGATTCGGCTTGGTTACAATTTTATTATATGTATAGATCGATAAGTGGGTAGTGACATTATAAGTAATGTAATGTAATTGTATAAGGCTATTCGTGAAAAAGTAGCCTAGCCGCGAGGCTTATATTTTGTTAAAAATAACAATGTATTTGCATAATATACAATAATTATAATTGTTTTTATACTTTTTTTATTTATTAAGGACCATATATTTCAATATTATCAATGCGTACACTTTCATATTTACTCGTATTCAACTCTTTTTAACGTCTCACTGCTGGGCTCGGGCCTCCTTCCAATACGAGGCGGATCAGGTCATAGTCCACCACGCTGGCCAAGTGCGGGTTGGCGGACTCACATGTCTTACGAAAACTTGCTAGGTTTTCTCAGAAATGCAGGTTTCTTCACGATGTTTTCCTTCACCGAAAGACAAGTGGTAATGAAGTTGGAAATGATTCGCACATAAAAATATCAGAAGTGCGAGATCCGGGTTTAGAACAAGCATCATTCGGTTTCCCAAGAGAGCGCGTTACCACTGGGCTACCACTGCCTGTATTTGCTCATAAATCATTATTATTTTTTTATTTACTATGACCCAACAGACTTTTTTCTGTCCGAAATTTAATTAATTTATATGCGAATTGCGATATTATATTGCGAAAAAATAAATAACTTTCAATTTTGACCAAATTTCTATATTTTCTAGGCAACATTTGTTTAAATTTATCCAAAACGGTTCAGCCGTTCACAAGTGATGCAGTTACCAATGAAAAGCATTTCAAAATTTAAACACGTTGATAAAACAATAATTGTATCGATTAATATATTTTAAAAAGTTATCATTAAAACTATAAACTAGCGACTTAACTTCCTTGATTTTGCTTGATTCTGTTGAGTGCGTCCCTAGATCTAACAGCCTATATCTCACTCCAGCTTCTAGTCTGTGTACACAATTTCACCCCAACAATCCAGCCGTTACAATAAGTAACAGTAACAAATAACATACAATACACAAAACAAACTTTCACATTTATATTTAACTAGCGACTCAACCTTGCTTCGCTCGGGTTCTTCCCTAGGTTGATTCCCCATACAAACTTTCATCCCCATTTTTACCCCCTTATCCCTTAAGATTTCCGGGATAAAAAGTATCCTATGTCCTTCCCAGGGTCTAAAACTGCCCCCCCAACGTGCGTTCACCTTGTCGTGGTGGGGGGGCTCAGTAGTGTACTCGCGAAGCCAAGAAACGCACAGGGAGGTGGCCCGCTTCGGTGGGCGGTGGGAGGCGGCCTTCTTCGGAGGGTGGTGTACCATGCGGGTTGCTCCTGGTACTTCTCTGATAGCAGAGTGGACCGTGGAGCAACCCCATGGTTGTTGTGGTCTGCTTCGGCAGACCTGCCGTCGGGGCGTCGTAGTTGAATGCGTAAGCGATCCTGCGACGCCCCATTAAGACGGGGGAAGGTTTTGTTGGGTTTTAGTGGGTAGTACTGGCTTCGCCGGTGAGTCCCACACTTCGTGCGTAAATGCATTTCCCAACGTTAAAAAAAAAAAAAAAGGGTCTAAAACTAACTTCTTACCAAATTTCATCTAAATCGTTTCAGTAGATCCAGACATTACCCCCTACAACGTTACAAACTCAAAATTCACAAAATTTACCTCTTTACAATATTAGTATAGATAGAAGACCGATAATACTAGAGTCTAGAGTATAATCCAAAAAGTATACAATATATTAAATATGGTTAATTAATTATTATTGTCTTCTAAATGTAGGTATATAAATGTTTTAATATGTACATTGTTAGTGTACTTTCTTTCTAAATAAATAAATCTATACATATAATAAAATTGCAACTAAGCCGAATCTGTACATTAAATATTTTTTAGAAAATCTTATTGTAATAGACATTATTATCGATACAGAGTCCGAATCTATAGTTTTTAGAATTTTTGTCTGTCTGTCTGTTACCGCATCACAGAAAAACCACTGGAGGGATTTTGATGAAATTTGGTATGGTGATAGCTGGTTATCCGGGTCAACATATAGGATACTTTTTACCGCGGGAAAATGTCTCAATTCTGATAAAAATGAACGCGGGCAATGTTAGTAAAAGAATAAAACAAAACCAAACAGTACTAACTTGAACAATCCTATTAAGCCTTGCTTCCTCTTGCCTCAGGGCGGCTATGTCTGCCTTCGCCTCAGACAATTTCGTCAATCCCGCTTGAACTTCAGTTCTTAGTTGTTCATTCTTCTTATTACATTTCATTAAAGTTCCCTCACACGACTTCAGACCCGTCTCTTTGCTGTTTATATCCTCTTTTAGCTGCTCGATTTGGTAGGCTAACATCTGAAGAGAATTGACTAAATTGTGGAGTTGGCGACACTTGACCAACGTTTTAACCACATGTATTATAAAAATTACTAGACAAATAAAAAAAGCAATAAGAAATATTGAATATTGAGGCTACCTTATTTCCTCAATAAACGCGCTATCTAATGCAAAAAAGAATTTTTCATATCGGATTAGTACTTCCTGAGATTAGCGCGTTCAAACAAACAAACAAACGCTGCCTCTTTATAATATTAATATATTAGTATATATTTTAAAATATTATTGTATGGCTTTATGTTTAGTTCTATGTTCATTTTCTAAATTTGAGATGTAGATTTAAATTAACTTGAAATATTAATACGTCTTTTTTAACATCGCATTACTCGACCCGAGGCTCGCTTCAATAAGACGGGGTTTTGGTCATAGTCCACTACGCTGGCCAAGTGCGAGGATGGACTTCATACTCCTTTGAAAACTATATAGATTCTCTCAGACACTCAAGTTTCTTCATGATATTTTTCTTTACCATCATATTTGAAATGACTCGCTCACGCAAATTTCAAAGGTACGAGAACTGGATTTGAACCCGCATCATTTTCTATTCCAAATAAAATTATACAATACACACACATAACAACACAATATCCTATATAGAATTACCTTTAGTTTCTGTTTCAAATCCTGTATCTCATCAAGGGCCTCAGTATAGTTTTTGTGGAGCATATTCCTTTCAGCTCGCGTCGCATCTAATGCCACTGATAGCTTTCGGCCCTTAATGGACTCCTCTCGAAGCGCTTTCTTTAAATCCAAAATATCTGCTGTTCTTAAACGAACTTCCTCTAGAAAAAAAATAGGTATCAAATATTAAGAAGTTATTTTTTTCACCTATTTATGTTTTTGTTTTATCTGATTTTCTTATTACAGGTCATTCTTCATCCGATCCGTCCAAACATTTCAGCGTATATGAGTAACAAACATACATACAAACATTTATGTTTATAATGGTAGTCTGAACTCCGAATAATTTAATCTGTAAGACATTTTGTATGCTACTAACCTGAAATATCGTCTATCTTTTCATTCAATGCAATTGTTTCTTCAAGCATCCTAAAGGAAAAAGAGAAAATAAAATAATAGGAACACTATTTATCTAGTGGGAATTACTCACAATTTATAGTGTAACAGTGACAGTGTAACAGTGAAGGTATACTGTACTACGATAATACGAGATAGACAAGTAATTGTAAGTATGTATCAATAAAGAAGGTATTTATTTTGAAAAGTAAACATATTTGATATCAGCCTCAATGAATGCCGCGTTAAAAGCAAAGAAAAAACTATATTAATCATTTGATGACTATATGATATTTTTAACCGATTTCCAAAAAGGAAGAGGTTCTCAATTCGTCGGAATCTTATTTTTTCACCGATTACTCGAAGACGCCTGAACCGATTTGGATTTTTTTGGTTTCGAAGGGTATACATCACACAGGTGGTCACATTTAAATTTTATCGAAATCGGTTGAGCGGTTTTGAAAAAAAAAATCAACAAAAAAATCAAAAATGAGTTTATGATTCCTCAAAAGATGTTAAATGAGAACAGAAATACTCAGTAGCTGAACTTGACCCGACCCGGGACTCGAGCCCAGGACCTCCGGATCTGCAGCTATACCTGCTAGCCACTATACCACTTTCTACAAACCTGTCTTTATCTTTCTCTAACTGTCGTATCACCAAGCGTTGCTTGTTGATCTGAGAGGCGCTGGTGTCTAGCTCGTGTTCGAGTTGCTTTCTTCTTTGTTCTTGACGATTTATTATTTGTAGATTTTCCATGGCCTCGTCTAATATAGAATATTAACTTTAATATGTTATACGCCTGTAATACTTTTTTATTAATTAAACGATACAGATCATTTCTAAGGTTCCTAATTTGAATATTTGAGCGCACTTTTAATTTTTTTTTGTGAAAACCACTTTAAGATCTGCATTTAAGGTTCAATTTACATTGTTGTATATTTATTTCAATTAGAATAATTACCTAAATATAATTGGTGACAGTTTTAAGAGAACTTTTACATGCGATTGTGTATCTAGTATTTTTTTGATCGATGGACGTACAGCCGTCATAAGAAAGAAGGCCGCAACTTCGTCAAAGTTTATTTCAAGATATTTGAAGTTTTGTCTCACTGCTACGTCAAAATTACTACTAGTTTTGACGTAGTTAAGATTAAAATGGTTACGAGTAAGACTATCAAGTAGCATTTTTTTACTGATTCCGAATCTGCATACAAGTCATGTTTTAGCAAATTGTTAGTTACGGCATCCTTCCTTATGGCGGCAGCGTAGCGTTCATACGTATCTGTTTTTCTCAAATCAGTCCAAAATGGCGAATAACAAAGAGCCACTCACTTTGTATCTTCTGCATGTTCTTGTTCAGTATGTCCTTCTCCCTATTCAAGTTCTCAATCTCTCTCTTGTCGGCTTCCGCTTGCTTTTTGTTCAACATTATCTCCCTCTCCATCACTGACACTTGCTGTCGGAGATTTTCACTGTAAAAATTTCATAATAATCATCTTGCTAATATTATAAACGCTAAAGTTTGTAAGTACGTAGGCATGTATGTTTATTACACTTTCGGGCGAAAAACTACTGAACGGATTTTGATGAAACTTTACAGTAATGTAGTTTATATATCAATTTAGTTATATATATACTAAAATTTAAAATACATTCATGTTTAATGCGAGCGGAGCCGCGTGGAAAATTTCTTAATACTAACATTAAATCAGAAGTTCTGTATAGACTTTGGGACATTCAAACTCCAATTATCTATTATATATTTTTTCGGGTACTGTTACATCGATAAACTTAAATTATATTTAAATAGATTCCTAAGTGGATGCACTTCATTAGTTCAAAAGTAATGAGTACTACAATTTTTATGAGACAAAAAAAAATAAAACATATTTCAAATTCATTTTACGATAATAATATCAAATAACACATTAAGATCAATTTGCCAAGTTACCGATCAGACTCCACTCCAGCTTTAGCCTGCTCTAGCAGCTGGTAGCGCTTCATCTGCTGCACAGCTTGCTTCGTTAATTTCGACACTTCGTTACGCAATCTGTTGCCGTCGTCTATCATGTTCTGTTGAAATTTTATTATATTTATTTTTTTGAAGTTATACTTCTTTTGGCACGTTTGAAAAAAAATGAGGGTTAATTTTTTACGATGAGCGCGCACACCGACTGCCAAAAAGCGACGTGATGAAGTTAACTGCATTCCTTTAACAGAGAGTTGTGACATACGAGATGAAATCTTTAGCTATTTTTGTTCTGTTACGCCAAAGAAGTATAACTTCTTACGTGAGTACATAACACACACACACGTCTTTTTATATATTATTAAGCATATTTTTATAATTTCTTTCTTATATAACAATTTCTCGTCGGAGTTTTCGCGTATTTATTTTGATGTTCGGATCCCGACGTTTCGAATGCTGTACAGCAATCGTGGTCACGGGAGAGACGTTGCGATGGTAAGGTTTAGACGTCTCAAAGATCATTTATATGGTTGTTACACATAACACCAATCGAAAGATTATACATATTAATTTTTAAAATACAAAAATGACACAAAGAATCTTACAATATTTGTTAATTTTAAAATTAACAGATATACAGGTTACATTATTGGTGCTATTGATCTCAAAAATCAAAATCTTTAAATTTTATACAGGACGTGTGTCAGTTAGTTTAGTATAAACATACATACATACTATGTTACTTACCATAACATTCACTAACCTTCAACTCCTTACTCGTGTTAACGAGTGTTTGCTTTGTCTTATCAAACTCTGCTTTTGTAGAATCGAGTTGATCCCTCAATTGAGCGGCTTTCGCTGAAGCGGCCTCTTGCTCTTGTTGGGCTGTTTCCAACTTGTTCCCCATATCTCTTAGTTGACGGTCGCGACGATCTAACGTTTTTTCTGCTTTCGATAGCTGTAATATCACAGCACAATGGTCTTACCTAAGTCAATAATTTCTAAATCTATATAAATAAATAGGAACTGCTTTTGGCAAGTGCGTAATTTAGAAATGGCTTCGCTATTTATTCGAATGTTAGTAATAATCTGAATAAGATTTTTATGGGGTAATAAAATTGGAAAAATTGGGTAAAACTAAAGAGCTTTTTTTTCTATTGGGCTTTTGCGTGAACTCGAAGATGACAAAAAATTGAGGACAAGGCAACCGTCTGTTGGGTCAGCTAGTCAGTAATATTTTTATAATATATCTATACTAAAAATAAAAAGAGGAAAGATTTTTTTGTATGTTTGTTTGTACCGAATAAGCTCCGAAACTACTGAATCGATTTAAATGAAATTTGGTAAGAAGATAGTTTGAGACCCTGGGACCTAGTTTGAGACATAGGATAGTTATTATCCCGGAGAGTTTGTCTAGGGAAGCAACCTTTTATATAAATCAAAAATTACAATACAAAGACTTAAATTATCCTGTTACACATTTACTTTGGAAAATATTTCAGACTACTTTTGAGTAAGCATCAACGCACATGATTATAATTTATAGTGAATATTTTGTTTATAATTAAACTGGGAAACTAACGAAATGAAACACAACCGGACAGCACTAAGACGTTTGTTTGTCCATCATTCACGCATTAACTGAGCAACGAATTGGTCAGATTTTGCATATGAAATTTAGATCCTCCTAATCCCGATAAGTCAACTAGTTTCCATGGGATATTGTATCTGTTGCATAAAGATGAGTTCATTGTTATAATATTAAAATGGTTATAATAATACCTCTCACTTTGGGCACAGAAAATTTTGGAAATTTAACCGCAGACAAAATAAAAATGATAGTGGAAGTATGAAAATCCGTTATTTTTAAAGTGACCCTAAATTTGATATAATGTTTTTGAAGATGGTTTCTGAGGATGAGTAAGGAAATGATGTGAATAGAATAAAAAAATGATGCGAACTTTATTAGTGGACCAATTATACATAAATAAACTGATCGAGCAAAACGCTTGTTAAACATACAAAAAACATATAAAGATAACCTACTTTATCATTAATTCCAGCAATAGTGTTTCCTCTATTCTCCACCTCGGTCTTCAATGTCGCACTCTCTCCCTTCAGATGATCGACCAAACGATTCTGCCGGACCGCATTGTTGTCTGCTTCCTGAATAAAATTATTATTTTAATTCATCTGTACTATTATAATAAAGGAATTAATAAAAAAATTACGCGAACATCTGAAATTTTAAATAAAACTGTTTTTAAGACTTTTCGAAAAGACCGTCTCTCTCGTGACTATGATTGCTGTAAAGCATTTAAAATGTCAGGAGTGAAAAATCAAAATAAATTTTAATGGTGGACTATGGCCTGATCTCCCTCGTATTGAAGCGAGGCCCACCCCCAGCAGTGGGACGTTAAAACGGGCTGAAAACACATACATACAAAATAAGCGAGAGGAGCCCCGCAAAAGATAGAAAAGAAAAATATATTTATAAAAAAAAATAGTTGTGTTTATTAATATATTTTTTTGAGCATACAAAAAATTTAGACTTATTATAATGCAACTTTTTGTTATTTAATCATTTAAGCTTTAATTAGATTAATTTATTTTGATTTAAGAGACAAAGTCACAGTACGTCGACGGTCGTCAAAAATATTCTAGCAGAGCGTGGTTTCGATCCACGGACCTCTGGGTTATGGGCCCAGCACGCTTCCACTGCGCCACTCTGCTGTGTGTGAACATTGCGATATTTATAGACCGAGATCAAATAGTAGGAAGTACTATTACGGCTGTATGTTTTATGTTGGCTTGTTACGAGATATCTTTAAAAATGGTGAAATGTACACACATAGTTACATACTATATATTATTTTTATTATAAATACATGTATATATAGTATATATATAGTATAGTGAGTAATCCGCTGTATTTAGAATTTTATTACTTAACGTTGTGTTTAAAATGTCGTATGCATATATTGAAGTTATACCTGTATTTCGTATATACTGTTCAAATGTGCATTTAAAAGTTATAAACTACACCCGTTATCCCGTTATAAAAATGCAAAACTTTGTGTATGTATGTACATTTGTTACTCTTTTACGCGGAAAAGGCTGGATGGATTTGGATAAAATTTAGAAAAGAGGTAGAATTAAACTATGACCTGGAGTAGCACATAGGATATAGTTAGTGTTAAAATTTGGGAAAGATGGCGGTACATGTATATAATATTAAAAATACATAAGGCATCCAAGAACGCGGAGATATGGTCAGTCACAAGTACGCAACATGTCGTGGGCTCAATACCTACTCGAATCAAAAGCTTGTTGTTTAACATCTCCAGGTAAATTTCTAAGACATAATTTTGTAAGAAATCTATTGTTAACTGTAACGTCTGTAAGAGGGAATAAGGAAGTACGGATTCCAATTCTTCCCATCATTAGTAATAGTAATTCAAGGAAGTTTTGAAGGGAAAAAACGTATCCTTTCACGTCAAAATATTAATCACGTCACTAATTAATTAATTATTCTCAGTATTTAAAGTAGAATAAAAATAAACCAATTATTATGACTAATATCGTAACTGCAAGTTTTATGCAATGTAGGTACTAAATATGGAATAGTTCCAAATATATGTAATAGGTTTACTTTAGTAAATTTTAAAGCAAGGATATAATAAAAAATATATAGTTGTTAAAAAATCGAACACTGAGTGTTCCATAGCATGAAACATTAAAATAAGTAACTAAAAATTTACTATTTTTGGAATTTTCCCTTTACTTGTGCTATAAGTTTTTTTTTCTCAAATTTCGTGATTCTAGGTCAACGGGAAGTAAGTACCCTTTAGCTTTTGATTTCCTTGTATCAAAATATGTGGCATAAGCGGGCCGTGTCTTTTGATTGCGTTGAGTTAGAAGTTTGATTTTTTGGTAACTCTAAGGATTTGAAGACCTGAGTATTTGATATTAATTTCAATTTGATACCACCACGCGTGTCTTAACAGATAGATACAGACATACAGACAGACGGACTGGCGCACAGACAGACAGATATAGGTACACATAGACGGATAACGAAGTGATCGTATTTTCCTAAAAAGCAAACTTATTTCTGCCGATTAACTGAATATAGGATATACATGAATTATTTTGCTTTAAACCAACCAAATTACTTAAAATTTACATATTATGTAAATGCACGAATTAGACCCGCACTTGTCTAATCGAACAATCATTATCTAGCTTAATTTAGCTTTTTATGATAAAAAAATAATCAAAAACTAATAAAAACATCTCTATCATATATTAAAACATAGGATTTCTTCTTACCTCAAGTTGTTCCTCTAATTTAGCGATACTCTCTTCAGCGGTGGTATTCTTCTGTTCTAACTCCTCGACATAGTTCAGAGCATTTGTGAGTCGTTGCTTGACTCCATCCAATTCGCCTTGAAGTCGAGCTTTTTCTTTTTCAAACTTCTCTTTTTCCTTTACGGCTGATGTTGCGCCTCTATTAATATATTAAAACGCGTAGGTTTGTATTTTTGTGCCGAGAAAAAATTAATATTATAGACGGGCAAATATTTTATTCACCTATAATTATTATTAACGTAAAAAATCGTCGCCTTAGCTTATTTATTCAACCGACCAATACTTATTGTACTTTACAATAGAGAGTTTTTCTTCTATTTTAAAAACAAAGCTTTAATTCTAAGATTTACTCGTATATACATACTAGCAGAACCTACGCATTCGCTCGCGCTGAAACTACGAAAAAAAACTCTACAAAGATAGGTTTTACACAAACTTTCATCCCTTATTTTACCCCCTTATGGGGTGAATTTCGAAAAAGGCTAAAATATGTATTTATTTAATTATATTGAAGAGCATTAATACCAAATGTCAAGTAATTCTGATCATAAATATTTATATGAGTTGTATTGTAAAGTTTTCTCTCGTGGGAATGAGATCTCTCGCAGTAAAAAGAGCATATATAAATATAGCACGTCAATCCGTCACTCTTTTTCGACGTGAAAGAAGGATAAACAAACAAACAAACGCACTTTTACATTTATAATATTAGTATGGATATAGATAAAATAAGATTTTCGGCTTTATTAAAGTAAAATGTGTATATAACACCAATAGAATTGGCAACAAAAACTCTTTCGGGAAATTGATCGTTTGTACAAATAAGCACGATACGTAGTTAGAAAATGTTAGGGTATGTTATATTATAAGATAAATATATTTTTTCATACAATGGAGCCCTCGGTACGCGAGTCAGACTCACACTTGTCCGATTTTTATTAATATAAAATACACTACCTAAAACCTTTATCCTGAAAAGCACAGATTTAAGTAATTTAAATAATATTGTTCTTACGCGTCATCATCTCCTGCCCTTTTCCTAGCATCTAGTTCTTTCTCGAGTCTTGTTACCGTTTTTTTCATAGTTTCCAAACTTTCCACGCTCGCGAGCTCTCTTGCATGCATTGCGTCTGCTAGAGCTCGGGCATCCTCTAATGGAATAAATCTGTAGTAAGAAGTAATTGACGACCCGTTTGGCTCAGTTTGTAGTGACCCTACTAGCTGTGCCAGCGTTCGCGGGTTCGAGCCCCGCTGGGGGCATTCATTTATGTAATGAGTACGAATCTTTGTAGTGCAGTCTAGGGTGCTTATATTTATAATATATATAAATTTAAAGTTATATATGTGTGGTGTATCAACTATCTGGTATCCATAACACAAGCCTCGTAGCTTACCATGGAAGTACATAGATGGTGCTGTGTATTAATGTTCCAACATATTTATATATTTTTTATATTTATTTATTAATACGAAAGAAAAACGTATAATGCCAAAAAAATGAAATCTTACCTATTTCTCCTCTCAGTTTATCAATAGTTCTAGTATTTTCGGATATTTCACTCAAATATTCTGTCACTATTGAATCGTAACGTGAGAGATTCGCCTTAAATCAAATTATTAAAATATAATCAGATTAGAGAGAAATATGATTAGAAATACAATATAATTAAAATTTTTTAATTTAACATTTAATCAAGTTTCCGATTAAATTAAATCTATATAAATAAAAATGAATCACCGAAATGTATGTACGCGCATAACTTCCGATCGATTGCACCAAATTGGATAATTCTTTTTTTTGTGTTTGTTATTGTCAGGACAAGCTTTGTATAGAAGAAAATTAAAAGATTTGTTTTTACTAAAATAATATTTTTTTTAAATCTCATGATATGAAAAGTGAGTGAGTGAAATAGTTTTCATCTCTTAAGGGGCTGAGAATGGGGATAAAAGTTTGTATGGGGAAGCAAGCTAGGGACGAACCGTAATATAATAACGGTAATAGAAATTCAATTTTCCACATAACGATGATTCCACATAAAATGATGTGTACAATACACGTAACGGCCTCACTAGGTTTACCCGTCTGATTTCGGTGAAATACCATAAACATACTGACGCACCAAATCTCGACAAATACTTACAATATAAATATTTATCTTGGACAGAAATGAACTCCAACTAGAATCAGCTGTTTAAATATTAAAAATTAAAAGTTTTTAAATTTAAATCGACTAAGTACGCACCGGCGGTTCTGTTGTTATTATTATTTTTTATTAACATTATAGGGTCTACGCAAGTTTTACAAAAGCATCGACGACGCGCATATCAAAAACGTATTGTCCGTGCGTTTATGGCGTTAATGAACTTAAAAAATGCAAATTGCTTGCGTTCATATCAATACATGATATAAGCAAACATCGGTCATCGACACCGCATTAATAACGCGGTAAAAGTCATCGTGTGCATAGACCCTTAAAATCCACCACAATAATACAAATTCACTTTCAAAATGGCTGTAAATTCTTCAATTAGTTGACCGAACAGACGGACGAACGGAGTAGTAATAGAAGTAATCTTCTCGTATGGAATTCTAAAAACCAATATTGCAAACCCCAGTCACATAGTGACGAACACATGTCAAGGCAGTTATTAAATATCGTTCTCATTACCTTGAGGTCAGTAATTTTCTCCTGATGAGTAACGTTTTCCTCTTTCATTTTGTAATATGAGTCGTAAAGTTTTGTGTACACATCCGCGTATAATTTTAGACCATCGGCCTCACGCATCTGCTCTAGGACCTAAAAGAATTTAAAAATGATATGGCATATAGAAAAACTTGTAGATATTATGATAGTTACCTATTTATATCATTCCCATCCATACTAATAATATTAATATTATAAATATAAAAATATTGTCTTTTTTGTATGTATGTTTGTTTGTAATGGATAAACTGAAAATTCGTTGAACCGATTTAGATGAAATTTGGTATAAAGATACTTTGAAACCCTGGGAAGGTCATTTTTATCCCGGAAATCATCCCTAAGGGGGTGAAAAGGGGGATGAAAGTTTGTATGGGGAATCAATCATTTCTCAAGTAAGGGATATAGAACTCATCATACGTATTTATAAATATATATATTTATATACTAATATATTATAGTGTATGTATTGCATACTAACCGCTAACATGTAACTACATATATGTAACTATAAAAATTATATTACTTTTTATAATGAATATTAATGCAATGAGTTTGTTAGTTCTTTAACGTCTAAAATGCGAAGTTGCAAATTAAGTTTATTGTTGTTATGAGCCTTCGAGGGCTTTGTTTTAATATAAAATAAGAAAAATATATCTAGAAAACCTCGTATATATAAAATGTAACCAGATAAAACAAAGTAAGCAATCTTACCCTTTCAAATTCTCTCTCCGCTTCAGTGGTTTCAGAACCAATAGTGATCGCAGCCCCGAATTCCTCTTCATCATCTTGCACATCCATTTTTAATATAAAATATATAAAAACGAACCTAATTCCAATATTATAAAGATAAAGCGTTAAATAAAAGTAGCGTAACAAAAAATGTAAATAAGATGTTTACTCGGTTACCATGGATACGTCATTGCAGTGATTAGAGTAAGAATAGGCAAGAATCGTGAAAATGGCGGCAAATTAAGTAGTCAACATTTTTATTCCATTTTATATGTGTATATATAATATGTTTATAATTAAACAATAAGTAATATTTTAGTTACTAAATATTGATAGAAATTCACCGAAACATCAAGGAGATAGTCTTAACTAAAAAGTAAAAACAATAATAATAGACAATCATAGAGGAACTTAGTGTCTATGCTTTTTCATTTTTTATTCACTCTAGTAGCATGAGCCATGAAGTAAAACTTTTATAAACAAACGTTGATTTATTTGTGTTTTATTCTGTTGTTAAAAGGATATGTTAAAAGTAGATCTATCTTGTTCCTATAAAAAAAGATGTGTCGTCACACTTACGAGTACCAATTGTTCCATCCAACCAATTTGGAAAGCATGTACGTATGATTTAAGGGGCATAGTTTATTTAATAAAACCTTCCTTCCTTCTCTAAATCCTTAAAATAGAAAGAGAGGGGGACATGAAGTGATTGAAAATTGTTAGTAATCGAGTAATTGTAGAGGAGGGTAGATAATTGTACGTCAGTTTGTTTGTAATGAGGAAGTACGTTGTTCAAACTATATTACGAGTATGTTGTGAGTTGTATAGTTGTTTAGATGACTTTGACAAATAAATCTTTTGCAACCTGTTATAAAATTTCTTTTACCTAGAGCAATTATCTGGCGATACAATTTCGTAGGCATATTAGAAATGATTGGTTTTCATCACTTTATGTAGTTATTCTAGAAGAATATTTAATATTTTAATAATGTCCAGCCTGCTTTATTTCTATGGTCAGAAAAAGTTTTATCCTAAAATTAAATATAGTGACTCAATCATAATTATTATGTATAGTGTTAATTAAAAAAATCTTTTACCCAGCGCATAAATGTATTATATGCGCAGTATATAAATAAATAAAAATAACTAAATTAAATAAAAAAAAAAACAAAAAAAACCGCGACATGTAACACGCCATTGTGGTGGCAGCCATCTTGGATTTGAAATTTATCATAGTGTATAGTATTCTATTAGTCAAGCCCTTTCATTTCATACCCATAATGAGGTAGTTGCGAAAAAATATGTTATCCGCCATGTTGTGGCGGCGGCCATCTTGGACCGATTTTCAACAAACATAGCTAAGAACACTCCCGACTAATTTACCTTTCAATTAAAAAAAAAACAAAATTAAAATCGGTTCATCCGTCCGGGAGTTACGATGCCAGAGACAGACACACACACAGACAAGTCAAACTTATAACACCCCGTCGTTTTTGCGTCGGGGGTTAAAGATAAAATGCGTTGTTCAAAAGATATAAAAAAACCACAATTATCCCTACGTGCCACTCTCCATTTATGCACAGAATTACTGATGCGAAATACTTTTATATCTCCACGACATTTCCTTCGTGGAGTAATGGACGTAAATATCCTTCAAAATAATAACACTAAATTTTACAAAAATGGTAAAGATTTAATCCTTTATTTTATAAAAAACTATAATTTTTATGGGACAATAAATCTTTACAGTTCACATCTATATATATAAAAGAAAGTCGTGTTAGTTACTTCGCTTATAACTCAAGAACGGCTGAACCGATTTAGCTGAAAATTGGCAGGGAGGTAGTTTAGAGCCAGGAGAAGGACATAGGATACTTTTTATCCCGTTCGACCGCGTTCCAATTTTTATGATATTTTAATTTTTGGATTTCTCTTAGTTCGGAATAGGTAAGTATTAAAACATATAATTAAAATGTGAGAAAGAAAGATTTTTTCTTTTTATATCTATTTAAAACGTACCTAGCGACGAACCCGAGCGAAGCGAGGGTGAGCCGCTAGTTTTAGATAAGTATTAATATTATGAATATTATCTCTATAGGTAAGTTAAATGCATTTTTCAAATTCTACTTCCGGGCCCACCGGATTTCCTTCTTTGTTATATTTTTTTATAATCTGCGTCTAATTAAAATATCTCATTGTAATTGGCCGCCGTGACCAAAATTAGTAGAGAGGATATCGTATCCTTTTAAAGTCCTGTGTCAAGTCATTTGACCATTTAAAAAAAATATTATGTGTGATTTCAGAAAGTATGTCAGTTTTGTGAATTGATTTTAGAGATATATTAGATGTAACGAAACTGGCTGAAGTTATTTTCATAATACAAGAAACTGAGTTGTATACGATCAGATTTATAACTATAACTATACTAGCAGAGCCCGCGGCTTCGCTCGCGCTAAAACTACAAAAAAAACTCTACAAAGATAGGTTTCATACAAATTCCCTATTTTACCGTTTTATATATTGAATTTTGAAAAATGCTAAAACACGTATTTCTTTAATTGTATTGAAGAGCATTAATAGTTTAATACTAAGTTTCAAGTAATTCTGATAATATTTTTCTTTTTTTTGTATTATAACGTCTTTTCCCGTGAGAGTGAGATAAGTCCCGCGATAAAAAGTAGCCTATGTCACTCTCCAGCCCTCCAACTATCTCCACACAAAAAATCACACCAATCCGTATCTCCGTTTCGACGTGAAAGAAAGACAAACAAACAAACACACTTTCACATTTATAATATTAAGTAAAAGTATATGGATATGCCTAGAAGGCTTGTTTATAATAAAGAAGGAAGTAACTTATGACGTGAACCTGGAGTAGAATATAGGCACCTAGGGAGGCATCGAGCAAAGCGAGGGTAAGTCGTTAGTTTAATAAAAAATATATTTTATCCACTAAATATAATTTTTAAGAAGTGGTCTTGAGCTGACCCTTTTAATGTATATATTTTGAAATTCGTGTTTTATTGAAAAACAGTTTATATATTATACATTTAATTAATTATGTAGTATTTTGATAAGATATAAATAAAGTAAATAATTGAGAAAATATTAAAAGCATAATAATGCTTCTGAATACTGCTATCTTTATACAATTAGAAAGGCAGTGGTAGCCTAGTAGTAGCGCGCTCGCGCGGAAACCGAGTGACGCGGGTTCAAATACCGGGTCTCGCACCTTTGATATTTTCATATGCGAATCATTTCCATCATGAATACCACTTGTCTTACGATGAAGGAAAACTTCGTGAAGAAGACTGCGTGTCTATAAGAGCCTAGCTAGTTTTCAAAAGACATGCTCAGTCCGCCCGCTTGGCCAGCGTGGTGGACTATGGCCTGATCCCCCTCGTATTGACGGGAAGTCCATGCAGTAGGACGTCAATAAGGGCTGAATACATTAGTAACTTTATAAAATATCAAAAATCAAATTTGGTTATAAAATATGACCTTAACACAAATTAAATGCTATATATATACTTTAGTTAGCCTTACCACGATGCATAAACGGGCCCTTGAGTTTTGTCCTTTTTCCATTTCAAATTGACAAAAATATTTTAAATTTTTTTTTTGCACAAACGGAAACGAGACCGGAAATTATTTTATAACTGGCCCTTACATTTTCATTACAGATATTAAAAATAACGAAATAAGGAAATCAAAAATTAAATGTAGGTTAATTAATGTTTTCACATGCTTAAATTTCTCAAAATAGTACAAACTTTAATTGTTCACGATTCTTTGAAAAATATATTTTTACACATGTTTTGTTTGATACGGTTTATATATTTTACTAGCATTGCCCGCGGCTCCGCCCGTGTTCAGATGACCAAAAACCAAATTCTTAGGTTTTAGATATTAGAATACTCTTACATTGCAGTTTTTGTATTTTTTCTCAGAAATTATATATTTTCCCGCAGTAAAAAGTATCCTATATATTGACCCGGATAACCAGCTATCACCATACCAAATTTCATCAAAATCCCTCCACTGGATTTTCTGTGATGCGGTAACAGACAGACAGCCAGACAGACAGACAAAAATTTTAAAACCTATAAATTCGGCCTCTGTATGCATAATAATGTCTATTTCAATAAGATTTTCCATAAAATATTTAATGTATTGATTCAGCTTAGTTAGAATTTTATTATATGTATAGATTGTAACAACAAAAAAATATGTTTAATCTATTTTAGTTTAAATTCACGCATTATTAAACTACATTTGAATAAAATTATAATGAAGAACATGATTATTTCATGATGAAATATCAATGCACATTACATATTATGTATAACGTGAACGCTAATACAAAGGGTCTTTAGATGCGGAAAAGACAGGATTGTACAAAAATTTTCCATCGTCAAATATTTTTTAAGATTTAATTATCTTTTTTGTATTTTAAATAAAACTATCTTTTCAGATTTTTTCGCGGATTTTTGGTTCCCGACGTTTCGAATGCTTTACAGCATTCATGGTCACGGGAGAGACTGAGGTGTTAGATGTCTCGAAGGTATAGTTGTTATAGACAGCCTACCTACAATTAACAAAATGAAAATTGCACCAATTACCTTACAATATTTTTTAACTTTAAACATTTTTATAATTTTAATTAGTTTTATAATTGAAATGGAATATTATTTATCTAATTTTTGCTGTTATTATTATAATTATTACAATTTTAAAAATATTAATTAGTAATCTATATTTAGTGTTGCCATTATTATATTTATAACCATAAAGAAAAATATAAAATATAGTATTAATTATTTAAGCCATATAATTGTTCTATGTGTAATCTAAAAAGTTAAAATTAATTAAGGATAATAATTTTAATTTTGTGTGCTATTATTTAAAAAGACAAATTCCTAAGCAACACTATTACTATATATTTTTACTAATGAAAAATGAAAAATATTAATCTGATATGCTGTCATTTTGATAAACACATTAAGAACTTACTACATCTACCTGTCTGTTATGTTTAGATTTATTATTTGATTTTATTATATTAATAA